AGAGAAGGGGAGCATTTGGTTAGGCCAGCTCCGCTTCTCGAGGTGGTCATAGGACGCTGACCTGCTTGGGGGCCGTGCCTTCTGGTCCAGCCGGCTGAGGCTGGTCCCATCCCATGGTACAGAACACAGCTGCCTGGGCGCCTGGGATTGTGAGGATCGTTTTCCCTTAAAAGGGAATATGAACATAACAGGCGGTAATAGAAACTTTCAATAATAAGAACTTTAACATTTAAAAAGTTGTAAAACCTTTTATTATTTATTTATTTATTAATCCTCACCTGAGGATATTTTTTTCATTGCTTTCCAGAGAGAATAGAAGGAAGAGAGAGAAACATTGATGTGAGAGACACACATCAGTTGGTTGCCTCCAGCACGTGCCCACGGGCCGAGCCTGTAACTGAGGTACGTGCCCTTAACTGCAATAAACCTGGGACCCTTCAGTCTGAGGGCCGACGCTCTAACCACTGAGCCAAATCGGCCAGGGCTAAAAATTATAAAACCTTTTAATCTTTTACTTTATGCCTTTTTCTTTGGCCTTTATCCTTAGAGTGTCTTTCCTAATTCCAAGATCTGATACGCATCCCACTGTCTTATTTTAAAAATTATTTTGTGGTTTTATGTTACAGTGAAGTATTACTTACTTTTAAGCAGCATTAACATGGTCATAGTGGCAGGTTCCACAAGGGAGCTGGTTTCAAGGTGACAGACAATGTCTGCCTTTTCCAGTTAAAGAACCACAAGTTCATCAACATGAGGGATTTTTGCCCACCTAAAAAATCTTAATTTTTTTTATTATGGAAGTAATTCATACTGGTAAAAAACCAATTAAATCATATAACATAAAATGTGAAAGTCCCTGAGTCCCAACCTCCCACAGTACATAATATACAAGTTAGTTGTCATTTCCTCAGATCATACATAGTATATAATACATTTTGCTTTATAAATGTATAAAAATGTATTTTAAGCAAAAATGGGGATAATAATGTTTTTCAACATATCTTTTCCGATTATTTCCACGTCTGCTATGTCATTCTTAATTTCCTTCATAGTTTCCATATCTTTTCTCATGCTGTTGAGCATCCTTTAATCAGTATCCTGAACTCTATATCTGATGGATTGCTTATCTCCATTTCATTTAGCTCTTTTTCTGGAGACTTCTCTTGTTCTTTCATTTGGTGCTTTTTTTTGTCTCTCTATTTTGGCTGCCTATTTGGATTTGTTTCTATGTATTAGGCGTGCAAGGACTCTCAATCTTTTTGGAGGGTCTCTGGTGCAGGCCAGTGTCAGACGCAGTTTGTTACTGGCCCTGAGTACCCTGTTTGGAGCTATCAACAACCCTCAGCTTGAGGTCCCCTCTCCTGGTGCTGGGTGCGGTTGGACAGGACCAAGATGCACACCAAAGTCTGCTTTTCCAAGGCCCAGGTCCAGAAGCAGATCAGGCAAAGACTCAAAGCACTCTGAGGTCTGCCTCTGCCTACAGGCTGATTAATCTGATTCTCTTAATGAGCCTCAGGCTGTAGACACTCCTCTGGGTAGGGCAGAGGTTTTCCAGCAGGGTGGGGCAATTGCTTCCACCCCCCAGGCAAAAGCTGCAAATTGTCTGCCTGAGAAAGATGTCCTCTGCAGTATGGGGGAACGATTCAGCACAGGAATCCAGAGGGGTGCCCTTTGAGCTCTATCTCCAGAGCCTGCAACCCCAGACTCTCCTCACACAGCTCCAGTCCACTCTGCCCTCCCTCTGCTGGAGCCCAAGGTGAGTGGCTGCATACAAAACTGTGAGTTGGCTCTTTAAGAGGGTGCCTGCATTTCCAGCCATCTCTCCCTGGCAGACAGAAACCCGATGCTTTTCAGGGCCAGATGTTATGTGGGCACCTGTCTCAGTTCTGGTGCTCTGGGCTGGGGAGCCCAGCCTGGGGTTTAGGCCCCAGAGTCCTCAGTGGGACCCCCCCACAGCTGAGATCTCCCTCCGGACCTTCAGTGCTGACTGTGGGGGCCCAGCCAGCCCTCTCACACCTCCGCAGTTCCCACCAGTCTCTATGTGGTCTCTGCTCTTCCTCCTTGGTTATGAGGGTGCTCTCCAGCTCGTCTGCAGTTGCAGTTAATTATTCAGGGTGGTTTTTCTATATTTTAGTTGTCATTCCAGCTTGGTCCCGGGAGAGTGTCAGTGTAGCTTCCACTCAGTCCACCGCTGTCTTTAATCTCCTCTCAATTGGTTTTATTAATGGTTGTTTAGGTCGTTTTTCCAATGTGACGTTTGGAGGCCAGAAATTTCGCCTCAATTTGCTTGCTAAGGAAAATGGTTGGTGCACAGCCCTTTGTGACCCTGCTTTTGCGGGAGGATAAGGGCTCTTTGTTCTGTAGTCCCGTGGGCGCAGAGTCTCAGCTTCGCCGCTGTCACCCGGTGTGCCCTGTGTCCTGTACTGCCTGGGGGCCCAGCCCTGCCCTGGAGAGGCAGCTCTTCCTGGCGCCTCCTGCTGGTGTCCATGGTTCCTGGGGAAGAAGCGCCTGGCAACAGGGGACCCTGATTCCCATGCCTGGGGATCAAGTGGAGGGAGGGAGGCGGCGCTGCTGATCCCTTTATCTAAGGAGTTGGCAAACTTTCTGTAAAGGCCCCTAGTGAAGACTGTAGGTCTTGGAGGCCATATGTCTCCACCGCAGCCACTCAACTCCGCTGTGTAGCAAGCAGCCCGCTGTGTAGCAGGTAAATGCGAGTGCCCGGTGCGGCCGTGGGCCAGGACACCTGTATAGACACTGAAGTTTGAATTTCTTGTGTCACCAAATAGTATTCTTTTGACTTTTCCTCCAACCGTTGAGCAAGTGTAAAAACCAGTGTTAGCTTGCGCGCAAAAATAAGCAGAGGCACAAATTTGGCCTGTGGATTATAGACTTTGTACTTCTAAGTTTACAACGGGGTTTCTAGCGTTCTTAGTTTTGATTCAGCCGAGTTGGCTTATGTATATCGTGAAGTCATTGTTCCTCTAGTTAGATTTTAGTGCTAGAAGGTGAATCATACCCTTAGTTCATGGCAGCCTGTCCCCGCTGCGGGCCCCCTTCTCTTATGGGTTGGGTTCTTTGGGGTTTTTGGTTCCTTTTTGCCATCACCCCTGACTCCGTCTTCCCAGTGGCCAGCATCCTAGAGTGTTCAATGTGCCGTTCTTTAGTTTGCATGATTCCATTTTAGTTGTTGCTTTTTTAAATTTATTTTTTCAGGGATGGTTCTCATAAGACATGTGCTGCTGGGTTCTGTGTGGACATCTTTAATTTACGTAAGGGGTGTTGTATTGCAGCGCTCATTCTCACTTTTCCACTCAGCGCTGCGTCTAGAAGATCTCCTCCGTGCCATGGAACCGCGGGCCCTTGCTTCTAACTAGCGCGCAGGGCTCTGTGGGCAAGTCCACTTCCGTCCACCTCATTTTAAAAAGAACTTTCCTGTCCTGGCCGGTTTGGCCCAGTGGTTAGAGCATCAGCCCTCTGACGGAAGGGTCCCGGGTTCAATTCCGACCAAGGGCACATACCTGGGTTGCAGGCTCGATCCCTAGCCCCGGTTGGGGCGCGTGCCGGAGGCAACGAATCGATATGTCTCTCACATCGATGTTTCTCTCTCTCTCTCTCCCTTCCACTTTCTCTGAAAAGGCAATTGAAAAAATATCCTCATGTGCGGATTAAAAAAAAAAAAGAGGTCTGGAGGTTGAGTCAATCACTGATGGCCAGTGATTTAATCAATTGTGCCTACATACTGTAGCCTCCATAACAAACCCCAGTCTAAGGGATTGGCGGACACGTGGAGGTGTTGGGAGAGGGTGTGGAGCCCTGTGCTCCTCCCCGCACACCTTGCCCGATGCGTCTCTTCCATCTGCTGTTCTTGAGTTGTATCCCTTTGTTATAAACTGGTGATCGAGTAAGCAAACTGGTTTCCTGAGTTCCGTGAGCTGCTCTAGGAAATGACTGAACCTGAGGAGGGGGCTGTGGGAACTCCCAATTTATGGCTGGTGGGTTAGAAGCACAGGGGACAACTTGGACGTGAGATTGGCACCCAAATTGCGGTGGGGGGGCAGTCTTGTGGGACCGAGCCTTTAACTTGTGGGGTCTGCGTTAACTCTGGGGTGTTAGAGTTCACTGAAGATTGGCTTGCTTGGTGTGGAAAACCCACACATGTTGATGTGGGTATAGCAGAGAGGAGGAATAGTTTTCCTTTACATACACACATACACCCTCCCTCTTATCATCAGGATGAGCAGCCAGGAGGACGTCACTGCCAGAGACTGCTACCAGTTCTTGGTCAGGTCCTCAGCCAGGTCTCAAAGTGTCTGTGGGACATGTATCTGATTTGACAGCTTCTGGCAGGGACCCCAGCCTTTGCCCCATGGTTCCAAGGTCTTGCTAGACCCGCCTCTAACAGTCCTGTTCTTGGTTTTGCAGCCAGAGCCCAATCCTGGAGACCTGATTGAGATTTTCCGCCCCCTCTACAGACACTGGGCCATCTACGTTGGTGATGGATATGTGGTCCACCTGGCCCCACCAAGTAAGGATGCCCAGGGTCTCCACTGTGCTGGGGCTGGGAGGAGAGGGAGATGGGGAGCTGTGGGCAAAGGTGACCCCAATGTTCTCTTTGCTCCCTAACTGGCAGTTGGTTCCTGAGTGCTATAAGAAGGCAATTTGGTCTGGTGCAATGGTTTTCAAACTCTGCTCCTCGGAACCCTAGGGGTTCTGCAGCCGGGCTGAGGTGGGCTCCCAAGGGGGCAGCTCTGCCTTTCAGGTTTTACATACTATGACTTTGAATAGGACACATTCAGCATTTAAGTGTAAGACTCCAAGAGCATGGGTATGGAGCAGCAAACTTGGCCGTGAATCCAGTTTCTACTCCCCAGCCTTGGTTTCCTTGTCTGTAAATGAGGCTAAGAACACTGAACTTGGAGAGTTGTCGTGAGAATTCCCCACCCCTTTCTTAAGCTAGTTACTTAAATGGAGATATAACATAAATAAGCGCACAGATATAGTCCATGAATTTTAAAAAACGGTCTCCATCCCTGTGACAATGACCCGGATCAAGATCTTGAACATTCCCCTCCACACGCCTCGCCAGTGTCCCCTCACCCTCCCTAACGGCAGCCGCCGTTCCAGCTCCTCTTGCCAGACCAGCTTTGCCTCTTTCCTGGGCCCGTGAGAGTCACCGTGTTGAGTGGCAGCAGTTCTCACATTTTCGTTGCCCAGTCTTTTCCTTGATGTGACTACACCGCAGTCTGTTATCTATTCTGCTGCCGGACATCGGGTCTGTTCCAGTCCTGGGCTGCTGAGTGCGGCTGCCGGGGCCATTCTAGGACATGGCTTGCCCACCCCTTTACTTTGACTAATGGCCTCCCCCTGTACTTACAGAGAAATCACAAGTAACCAGAGCAGATGTCATCTTCCCCACCCCTGATTAACCAAACCACCATTATCTGCACCCACAGAATCTTTTCTTCTGTTAAAATGCAACAAGTGTCCATGCTCTTATTTAAAAAGCCAGTCCTGCCTGGCCGGGCGTGGCTCAGCAGTTGATCATCGACCTAGGATCCAGGAGATTGGGGTTCGATTCCCGGTCAGGGCACATGCCTGGGTTGTGGGCTAGGCAGCCGATCAATGACTCTCTCATCATTGATGTTTCTGTCTCTCTCTCTCCCTCTCCTTTCCTTTCTCTGAAATCAATAAAGATATGTTAAAAAAAAAAAAAAAGCCAGCCCTATGTTGGGTCCTGGACCCCCTCCTCTTACTTTCACAAGCTCTTTGTTCCTTAGGCTTCCCACCTTCTCTGTATTGTCATCTTTCCCCTTTCTACTGGGCTGTTCCTATTGGCATAGAAACCAATGTAAGATCTGTTGGTAAAACAAGCGCCCCTCGGCTTCACATGTCCCCTCTCTAACCCCCATAGAGCAAATCTCTTGTCTACTGTGGGGCCTGGTGTGGTCTGGCCTCTGCCCGCCTCTCTGACCCTCGTCTTCCTTGTACCTGGTGTGGTCCGGCCTCTGCCCGCCTCTCTGACCCTCGTCTTCCTTGTACCTGGTGTGGTCCGGCCTCTGCCCGCCTCTCTGACCCTCGTCTTCCTTGTACCTGGTGTGGTCCGGCCTCTGCCCGCCTCTCTGACCCTCGTCTTCCCTGTACCTGGTGTGGTCTGGCCTCTGCCCGCCTCTCTGACCCTCGTCTTCCCTGTACCTGGTGTGGTCTGGCCTCTGCCCGCCTCTCTGACCCTCGTCTTCCTCGTACCTGGTGTGGTCCGGCCTCTGCCCGCCTCTCTGATCCTCCTCTTCCTCGGAGCCCCTCCTGAGTCTCTAGACTGCAGCCACCGTGGCCCCCTTGCATCTTGCACGGGCCACACTCTTTCCTTCCCGAGGTCTTTGCTCTTGTTGGCCCATCTGCGTGTGGTGCTCTTGCCTGGATCTCGGCACGGCTGCCTCCTGTTCATCACTCAAGTCTCAACTCAAATGCCCGTTCCCTGGTGGCCCCCCAGTCCAAGCTGGTGCCCCCTCCCCAGTCACCCTCTCCTGGATTACTTCGCCTGCCCTGATCCGTAGCGTTTTCAGTAGCTGAAAGTACCTTGTTTTGTCTGTGTGTTTGGAGTCAGTGTCCTCTCACTAGAATGTGAGCTACTTAGGGCAGGGGCTGTCTAGTTTATGCCATTATCTCCAGCACCTCCGGCAAGGCCTGGCACATAGCAGGGCCTCAGTATTGGTTATTGACTGCACTGAGTGGGTGGAACGGGTGGAGGGAGGCAGGGAAGGCGTGGTGGGGGTCTGGGCGCCCAGGGGTGCCAAGGATCACTGGGTGTGTGATGTTCCTAAAAGGGAAAAGGTGCCTCTACAGCAGCTTCTCATTCTAGCTTCCCAGGAACCTTGCAAGATAGGTCAGGACTGACCTCAGGCTACTGAGAAAATGGTAGGAATTAGAATTGGAAGGCAGCTGAGGGAACAACCCCAAGAATGACGGCAGCTAACATGTGCTGGGCACTCACCTCATGCCAGGCACCGGGGAAGGCACCTTATGTGGCCTGCTGCTTTCATCCTTGCAGCTCCTCGGCAGTGTGGTAGGGACAGGGAGGGACTGTTATTGTCCCTGTTCTACAGGGAATCTGGGACTCAGAGAAGGTAAGCAAATTGCCAAGGTCACATAGCACGGAAGTGGTGAAGGTGGGACTCGAACCCTGGCTGTCCCACTTTGGATTCTGTGCCTTTAACCACGATGTGCCTTTAATGATGCCCAGTCTGATGTTCCCCAAAGTTTAGCCATCAATCGTTTGCCATATCCACGTGCCCTTTCTACAATTGTTTATTTTCTTTAATAGACTAACTTTAAGAACTGAAATAAAATTTTAAAGTAACTTTAAATTACTATACTGATGTGTGTTCCTGTATCGATTGTAGTGTGTATTTGGGGATTACCCACAGCGTTGGCTTGACAAGGTTAAGTTACCGGTTAGGACCACCCAGTGATGGAGGTAGAATCAGAACCCAGAGCTTCTGACTGCCAGCCTGTGCACTATTGAACTACCCACCAGGTGGCGCCCAGGGTGCAGAGTTTAAGGAGGCCTCACTCTTAGGGATGACTTTATACTTGCCTGGTCTGAGAGTTGGTACCTCCTGAAATTTTATGCTCCAGACATTTTTAATTTTTAATTTTTTTAAAAAAGCTTTTATTTCAGAGAGAGGAAGGGAGAGGGAGACAGAGAGAAACATAAGTGATGAGTCATTGATTGGTCGCCTCCTGCACACCCCCACTGGGGATCGAGCCTGAAACCCAGGCATGTGCCCTGACTGGGAATGAAACCGAGATCTCCTGGATCACAGGGCGATGCTCAACCGCTGAGCCACGCTGGCAGGGCTGCTTCAGGCATCTTACTTGCCTCACTCCAGCCCCAGCCCTGCCACCCACCCCACCAAAGGGCTGACTCTCTTCACACACTCTGGGTTTACACATGGCACCATCTCTTTTATTTACTCCCGTGAACCACTCAAGCATCTTCTGCCCTGTTGGTAGCAAGTGGAAAGTCCCCTGGTTTTCTTTCTTTTTTAAAAATATTTTTTATTATTTTTAAATATGACTTTTTAAAAATTTATTTTAGAGAGAGGAGAAGGTAGAGGGAGGAGGAGAAACATCAGTGAGAGAGAACTATCAATCAGCTGCCTCCTGCGTGCCCCCTACTGGGGATTGAGCCCTGCACCCGTTTGGTGCATGGAACAACTCTCAACCAACTGAGCCACACCGGCCAGGCTCCCCTGATTTTCTAAAATCTCAGGATCGTACACAGGGCAAACAGGTATAGTCCTGTTTGGAAAGCCAAGCAGAGGAGGACCTGGAATCTGATCGGCCCCTCTTGCCACTGCTTGCTGCTGTCATACGGTGTCACAGTGGAAGACGCCTGCCCAGCTTAACAGGGAGCCTCCCCTGCTAGGGAGAGCCGGGGGTCCGATCCCAGCAGGGCCACAGTGGCTCTCTGAGGGAGAGGGAGCCTCTTCTCTAGGCCCACCTGTTTGGTACCCACTGCCTTTTCAGTCATCATACGGGAGCGTGCCCTGCGCACAGTGCAGGTTGGCGGCCTTGGGAAGGGTGTCCGGGCTCTGTGCTGGCATCAGCTCTCCCTCCCCGCCAGCCTGGTCGTCATAGTGACCCCAGACTTGCTTTCTTTGAAGCAGTTTCACTATTGGAGCTATATTGCCCCTTCCAGCCCCTCAGCCTTGGCCAGGGCTGTGCTGGTGAACCCACTGGGCCTCCCTGGTGTCACATCTCATGGAGCAGCTATGGGGTTTTGGTCCCTTTGCTCCCAGAAGGGCAAATCCATCCACCTTTCCTGCAGTAGTCAGCCTTGTATATGCCAAGGAAGTTTAGCCCCGATAGAAGCACTGGAGGCTCACACCCTGTTCGCCCAGGGAGGTGGGTGTGCTCAGGGCCCACATCGAATGACCAAGAGGGCCACTGAGGCGGCACAGGGTGTAGAAAACCAGCCCTCTAGGTTAAAAATAATCTCCACGAATCATGGAACTTCACTACTCCTGACTTCACATAAGGAAACCAGGGTCCAGAGACCACAAGCTCCTTCTCCAAAGCCACACAGCATGTGTCTGACCCTCCCCCCTTTCCCTTCCACATCAGCTCATCCTCTTATGGATGGTGCCGAGGGTGGGTGCCCGGCGCGAAGCCCGCCCTGAGCCCCGGGCCTGCCCAGGACCATCGCTCTGTGTCCTTTGTGAACCGCAGGTGAAATCGCAGGAGCTGGTGCGGCCAGCATCATGTCCGCCCTCGCCGACAAGGCCATAGTGAAGAAGGAGCTGCTCTGTTCTGTGGCCGGGAAGGACAAGTACCAAGTCAATAACAAACACGACAAGAAGTATGTGCCGCTGCCGCCCAGCAAAATCGTCCGGCGGGCGGAGGAGCTGGTGGGGCAGGAGATGCTCTACAAGCTGACGAGCGACAACTGTGAGCACTTCGTGAACGAGCTGCGCTATGGAGTCCCCCGCAGCGACCAGGTGCGTCCTCAGCCTGTGTCCCTGTCCCCGGGAGCCAGACCATTCATTCAGCTGACAGTGGCTGGACATCTGTGTGGGCCTGGCTGAGGCGGAGACAGAGACATGAACTAGACAAAATAGCAGGGACACAATCCCTCCCCTCGACGGAGTGACAGTCAGGGTAGGGATGCGGGTGGGGAGACGTGCCAGTCTACAGAGCAGACCCGTGCCATTAGGGGGTGATGTCACAGCCATGACAGTCACTGCCACTGCCAAGCCCTCCCTGGCTGCCTGGCCCTGAGATGGACCCTTCCCACAGGACAAAGACGGGTTTTATTATTCCCATTTTACAGATGGAGAAACCGAGGCTCACGGCACTTAAGTAACAACTCTGTGTTGAGTTTCCAGACCTGGTACTTGTGTTTTTCTGGGAATCTGCAACTGTACTGCTAAGTAGCAGCAGTGGGATTTGAAGCCTAGGTCTTTGGACACAGCTTTTCATGCTTATGAAAAACATTGTCCTCAGCCCTGCTGCAACCCAAGGCTCAATCCAGGAGGCCCCAGGGGACGCAGTTTTGCTCATTTACTAAGTTTGATTTTGGCTGTGGCCCCTCTTTTTTGAATCTTTTTTTCTCCTGGATAACTAACCAACCTCCTGTTCCCACTCCCTCCTCTCCCCTTCGTCACTTCAGTACCATTTGTGTGTGTGTGTGTGTGTGTGTGTGTGTGTGAACACTGGAAAAGTTCTTAGATGCTCGTTGATGCAAAAGTATGATTTTCCCCCCTAAAATTTTGCAGGCATTGCTTCATTGTCATCTAGCTAATGCTCTTGTCAAGAAGTCTGAAATGGCTCAGATTTTTGATCCTTTGTTTGTGATCTATTTCTTCTTTCCAGAAGCTATAGAATCTTTCTTTATCTGAAATTTCACTATGATACACCTGTGTGGATCTGTTTTTATGTATTGTGCTGGGCACTTGATGACTTCTTTCATTCTAGAAACCCCATTCCTTCAGTTCTGGGAAATTTTCCATTTTCTCTTCTCTCATTCTGGAACTCCAATTATTCGGTTGTTGGACCCCTAGACTGCTCCTCTGATTTTCTTCTCTGCCCTCCTTTCCATTTATTTATTTATTTATTTTTGATTAGAAAACTTAACATTTATTGATAGATTGGGTATAATAGAAGTTTTAAAAAAAGTAGCGGTGACAGTATCAGCATAAAAAAGAGAAACTTATGCTAAATAAATCTGTTTTCATTATTGATGATACTGCCTAACAGTTGAGGTCCTCATTCATATGTGGCGTCTACTTCAGGCAAGTCTCCATACTCCTATGCAGAAATAAACTTCAAGTAGAACTTAGTATAGAAACTTTAAAGCAGTAAGATACCCTATGAAATTTAGGGTGCTACACTAGGAAGATTTGGTAGATTTATAAAATATCTCCTAGTCATCTAATTTTTTATTATTCATTGATTATTAATAGACTAAAGAATAGACTCACAGGCCCTGGCTGGTGTGGCTTAGTGGTTAGAGTGTTGGCCCATGCATTGAAGGGTCTCGGGTTCAATTCCCCATCAAGGGCACATACCTGGTTTGCAGGTCCGATCCCCGTTCCTGGTTGGGGCTCATGCAGGAGATAGCCAGTTGATGTGTCTCTTTCACGTCAGTGTTTCTCTCTCTTTCCCCCTCCCTCCCTCCCTAAAAATCAATGGAAAAAATATCCTCGGGTAAGGATTAACAAACAAAACAAAACAAAACAAAAACAGACTCACAAGTTTATATAAATAATTATGTGTCAATACAAAATTGTTACATAATTTTGTAAATACCTATGTTGATAGGTGATAGTCACGAATACTATTTAAGAGCAGTTAAATACAATTCCAACTTTGAGATAGTGAGATAATTAAGAAATAGTTTCTGTCATTTACTCTTCATAGAAACAATAATTCAACTCTTCTTGCAAAATGAAACATGCAGATTGGACACATCACACTTTTCTTCCAATGGCTTTAGCCCTGCGCACCACCCACCCACTTGAAAGGGCGAAAACTGACACAACAATAAAGCAGCATAAACAATTCTCTCGGACCCTCCCAGGAAACGAAAGCAGAATGTATTACAAAACAAAAAGAGGTGCCACCTGTACTGTTTCCAAAGCCCCCCCCTTCCATTTCTTGGCCGAGGATGAGGGTCTGTCAGCTTCAGCAGTATTGACGTTTTGGGTCATTGACATTGGAGATCATTCGCTGTTAGGACGCCCTGGCACTGCAAGGTGGTTAGTGGCATCTGTGGCCTCTACACGCCAGCTGCCTGTAGCGCTCCCCGACCAGAATCAAATGTCTGCAGCTCTTGCCAGGTTCCCCTAGAGGGCAAATCCGTCCCCACGTGAGAACTGCTGGCCTAGGCAAGTAACGGTCAGGATACGTGGTGTGGCCATGCTAAAACGTTACCTCCGCATGCCTCCCGTCCCATGAGAGATGGTGGGCTTAGTAGATTTTGGAAATGTCTAGCAGTGTTTTCCTTTGTAAGTGCTGTCAAAGTGGCAACCCTCCTCTTCGTTGAACACATGAGGACATTTTTATGTGCCTTTAATAATCTGGTCAGTCATTACGGTTATTTGTGTTTTGCTCTTTGAAGCAGATTAGATTTTCCTTCAGCAGAATATTTATGACTCATTTAATTTACCGGTTAGAAAGGGCAGCAATGGATTTAGACTAAAATGTACTTTGTGCTCTATATGCTTAAGAGTTTCTAAAAAATGATTCCCTGACTTTCCACCTACCTAAAAATACTCAGGCTCCCAACAAAGGCATATTTAGTCGGCTTTTGTAAATAAGCCTTCATACTGAATAGTCCTTTTTTTTTTTTTTTAAATATGTCTTTATTGATTTCAGAGAGAGGAAGGAAGAGGGGGAGAGAGAGAGAGAAACATCAATGAAGAGAGAGTCATTGATCAGCTGCCTCCTGCACACCCCCGCTGGGGATCGAGCCCCAACCCGGGCATGTGTCCTGACCGGGAATCGAACCCTGGTCACCTGGTTCCCAGGTCGACGCTCAATCGCCGAGCCATGCCTGGCTGGGCCTGAATAGTACTTTTAATTTAATTTTTTCTTTCATTTTAAATCATTTAAAAATTTTCAATTATAGTTGACATACAATATTATATTAGTCTCAGGTGTTTCCCCCCAGTGATTAGACATTATATAATTTACTAAGTGATCATCCCAATAAATCTCGCACCCATCTGGCACCATACATAGTTATTAGAATATTCTTGACTATATTCCCTGGGCTGTATTTGACATCCTCGTGACTATTCTGTAACAACCAATTTGTACTTCTAAATCCCTTCACCTTTTTACCCATCCCCTCAACCCCCTCCCATCTGGCAGCAGTCAAATGTTCTCTGTATCTATGAGTCTGTTTCTGTTTTGCTTGTTTGCTTTTTAGATTCATTTGTCAATGGATATGTATTTATTGCCATTTTATTGTTCATGGTTTTCCTTTTCCCCCCCTCTTCTTCTTAAAGAAGACCCTTTAACATTTAATGTAGCACCGTTTGGGTGGTGATGAACTCCTTTAGCTTTTCCTTGTCTGGGAAGCTCTTTATCTGACCTTCGATTCTAAAGGACAGCTTTGCTGGGTAGTCTCGGTTGTAGGTCCTTGCTTTTCATCACATTGAACATTTCTCACCAATCCATTTTGGCCTGCTGAATAGTACTTTTTAAAAAGCAACTAGGAGCACCCGGCCGGGCGTGGCTCAGTGGTTGAGCGTCGACCTAGGATCCAGGCCATCAGGGTTTGATTCCCGGTCAGGGCACATGCCCGGGTTGCGGGCTGCAGCCGATCAATGACTCTCATCATTGATGTTTCTGTCTCTCTCTCCATCTCCTTTCCTCTCTCTGAAGTCAATAAAGATATATTTAAAAAAATAAAAAGCAACTAGGAGCTACACTCGTAGTGAAGTCTACTTTTTGTCAGATAAATAGAAACTGAAGATGTGGCCATTGGTAATGCATATGTTACATAAATCTGGATAAATTACAAGGGATTATTTTTATATTACTGTAAATATTAAAGCCAAATTTCTATACAAAGACTTTATACCCATTTTTATTTTGCAACCTCTAATCGTCCAAATCCAATTCCTTTGAGAATAACACTGTTCTTTTACCCACTCAGAACGTTACTGAATTTGAAGAAAGCACATTAGAATCTTCTTTTTCCCCAGAAACAGTTCTGGGGCTTAACTCAGAGAAGCTGTGTAGTAGCGTAAACAGCTAATTTTCTGTATTCTGATAGTATTTCAGTTTGTCCACTTAAAAAAAAAAAAAAAAAAAGGTTTCTTAGCATTCCTGCATAGCATTCTGATTTAAGACCCATGACCCACACTGTGCAGCCAGTTTCATGATCGGAACTCAGGTGATGGCAGCCCCGTGGCTGGGCTGACCCAGCAGCCTTGCACCAGGAAACCACTGCTGGCATCTGAAGTAGCTCTGACTCTCGGGCCTGTCGTCTTCCCCATAAAATGTGCACCCCCAGGACTAACTATACCACTTTCTGGTGTTTCATTATACTCTAACTCTGCCCAAAGCATGACCGCAGACAACGGGGCTGCTGTTTTCCTTGACAAAGTAGCTTCTGTAGGAACCAGCTGCATCAGCATTTCTCCTCACACTCTGAGGTTCTGTGGAGAACCAGGGGCACATTGTGCCTCCTCCATCACCTGCAAGCCGTTTCCCCCACCCTGACACGGAGCTGAGCCAGGAAAACGCGGGGTGCAATTGGACTGATGCAGGCTTCTAGCAGGTTAACCCAACAGAGCCGTGGCCGCCACGCAGCTGTGCCCCGTTGCCCTTAGAGGAAAGGTCAAAGACCGGGAAGCAGTCAAACCTCCCAGCAGCAGCTTCATCCAGCGTCGCCATCGTATGTCCTGGCTGCTGACAGCACCAGTGCTGGTTGCCTTGTGCGGTTGGTTAGGCTGGTGTGTTTCCTGGCGCCTCACACAGCAGCGCTGGGTGCATTTAAGGGGCACACACATGCACACAGCCATAGGAGACCTCCAAGTTCTCTACATTGGGCATGTAGGGGTTGTGGCAGCCACAACATACACAACCTGGGCGAGCTCTGTGGTTAGCCTAGCCAGGGCAGTGTTGACCGTGTCACGCCAGGGGGTGGGTTTTGGGTACCGAGCCTACATTTTCGTTCTCGGTCCTGGGACTTGTGGTACACTCTTCATTGGACTTCGTGGCATAAGTTGGTTGAGAATCTTTTCCTTTGCTGTTCTTGATTCTGCTTAAATGCCTGGCTTGGTTTTGGGGTGAGATTTCGTGATTTGTGTTCAGGACACTCTTTCAAGCCTTCAGTGGGGAAAAGTGCAGCTTTGCTGATTTGGACCGTGTGCCTTCACTGGGAACAGTTGCTATGAGCTGAAGAGGGAGCTTGCTCTCCCTTTGCATTGTCACAGGAATTGGTGTCGCTTGCGCCCGGCCAGGCACTGGGGCTACAGCCATGCACGTGAGGTCCTTGCTCTCGGGGAGGTCATAGCTCACTGAGTATTCAGTAGCAATTCCAGCTTCAAGGGCTCCCCATTGGCCAGCCAGGATCTCAACTATGTTCATTCTGTTTTTATAATAAGGCTTCATTTCCCTGTCCTTTCCACAGACACCCTCTGGGATTTATGTGCTTTAAATACCTGCAGTGCAAATTGAGTTTCCCTCTTCCTGTCCAGACAGATTCCTGGCCAGCTGGCTCCATCCCCCAACTCTTTCCCCATCCTGCCCTCTTCTCCCCATTTCCTTGCCAATATTTGTTGACTTCTGAGTTTGTTAAGGAGACCAAGGGGCATGTGCGGCTCTCTAAGGTGAATGTTCTCGTTGAATGTACAGCCTGTACACAGATTCCTGACAGAGTCTGATCCACCCTCCTCTCTCTTGCAGGTCAGAGATGCCATCGTGGCAGTTGGCATCGCAGGTGTGGGCTTGGCAGCTGCCGGCCTCATTGGAGCCATGATCTCAAGAAACAAGCGACAAAAGCAATGAGTTGAAGGGACTGCCCTGATAGCATTTACTTTATACATTAAGGGGGTCTTGTTTTGCTAGAGGTTTTGAGGTTTGGTTTATGGATTTCATTCTGTTTTTATAATAAGGCTTATTTTCATAGAACTAAATAAAGCCCAATAAAAAGATTTTATTGGGGGAAATGCAGCAAGAACTGCCTGGTGTGAAGTCCGTTGAGGCCACGGCTGAGCTCTGTTCCTGGCGATGCCAGTTTGTGCCCTGGCCCTTTGGTGACTTTCTCTCACTTTCTCTGCGGGCTGCGTTCTTGGCCTCGCAGGAGACAGAGCCCGACGCCTGTTATCTCAGATAATGGGCTTTTCTGGTTGTGACGATATATGGGGCAAGGGTGACAGACCTGATTGATATACAAGAACAGGATCCATGGGACAGGAAGGACCTTGGCCTGGAACTAGACCCAGGGGAGCTTCTAGACTCAGCCTCCAGAGTTCAAAGCAAACCAAAGCAAACCTTTGCCATAAAGAAACTCAGTATATGCTCTTACCAATCTTAAAACCAGCCTCATTACCTCTCTGCTCTTCACATCTTTCCTCCGCGTTGTTGCTTCCAGCCCCCCCAGTCCTGGCACTCCTGCTTCCTCACCACTGGGCTTGGGACAGTCCCCAAGTCTCTGATCCTGCATCCTGTTCTGTGGCCCCTTCCCTCCCCACCACCAGGTGCTCCCAGGTCAAGTTCCTGAGAGAGAATCTGATTGGCTCCGCTCACCACACCTAGCTCAGCCTGCTGATTGTCTGCCCTGGGGTTGGGTGACCCCACTAGGCCAACCAGGCTGCCCTGATGGGCCGGGTCACATGGTGCAAGGTTGCCCCGCACCTTAAGGGTTGGGGGTGTGGGGGCCACCTGACCTCCCTGCTGCCCAGCCCTCCTGGAGGCCTTGAGGGAAGGAATGACCTCTTGTGGCTAGTGCCTTGAGGTGGGCTACTCCTCCCTGGGCTTGGTCCATGTTCAAAATGATCATCTCTCTAAAAGGGGCTTTTATGGGTTCCTCAGCAATGCTCTGCTGGTGCTGCGAATGTTTCCTTTGTCAGCCCTGGTTGTCAGGGGACCCTGTCTGGGAATCCTGGACAGGGCTGCCAAGGGAAAGAAAACAGACTCTCTGTAAATGTAAGAAAAGTTTTATTTAGGATTTATTGAGGGCTAGCCTTGAAACAGTGCTCTGACTTGGGGGGGTGAGAGGGACTTATGCAGGCAGAAAGGTAAGTGAAGGTACATTTGACACTAAAAGTTACAATCGGTACAATTGCTTCACTGGCTTCACATCAAATGGGAGGGACGCATAGAAGAGAGAAGGTTGGATTGCTGCTGAACCTCTCAGTGTGGAAACAGGATGGATTGTAATGGGCACAGATTCGGGTAACAACTGAAACTGTGCTCCAGAGAGAACAAGGAAAGGCAGAGTTTAGTTATAAAGGGCAAGACCATGAGAGCTGTTCTCATTAAGGTCCTCCATGAAAAGGAGAGATGTCGGCTAGGTCACTTGGGGTTGATTAGGCGTGCAAATTGGGGAACGCTGGTTGTGGAAATGGATGGTTCCTGTCAAGATGAAGAATTCAGATGGTCTGGTCACCACGAGGAAGTCAAGTCTCCGGAGCAGTCGCTCGTTGACCCAGGATGTTTGTTACTCGGTCTTGAGCTGGGTTTAGCAACAGGTCAGCAACTTAACAGTAGTTCCAGAAGCTGAGACACTGAAAATATAAGGACACAAAGATTGAAATGAAAAGGGTGGGCATTTTACTAATCGGCGTGGTGTTGCGTGGTGTTTTAAAAAGCTAATGTTATCAAAGAGAAAATGAAGGTGTGTGAAAACTGCCCTGGGTCGAAAAAGATGTTGGCGACAAACAACTACATGTAAAGAAAACTATAAAAGCGAGTTAGGATAATTGGGAAAGTCTGAGTATGGGCTGGGTGTGGATGAAAAAGCGCCACGTACTAAACCTCACGAGCTCAGGGAAGGCCTGCGTGGCCTGACACACTCGGAGGCCTAACGTAACCACTTGGGATGGTCTGAAATTAAAAATTCCCAACTGAAAGTGGTTCATGGCAGGTAGTCATGTCCTAGGGCGGTAACTTTCCCTAACAAAGGTCGATCTTTGCCTTAACTGAGCCTGTTGTCTTCTTTTGCATCTATGATAACATACTTGACAACATACCTTTGGAATATCAGAGTAGTTTTCTCCCCACGCCAAGCCCTCCAAGCACAACCACCACACCTGAGCAGAGACCACAGATCCCCTTTGTTGTTAACTGTCAGCTGTCAACTGTCCTATACCTGCCTGTGCAAAGGAAGCATGTGCTTGTTTTACTTTTTACCCAATTCCAGAGATTCATCCCCCCTTTGCTTTCTCCCTCCTCCATGATCTGTCACCAGTGGATTTCATGTAACCCTTTACGACTTCCCCTTTGATTCTGATGTATAAAATAAGTGGTAAAACTGCCATTTTCTGGAGCATTTTTTCCAATCTGTTGAGATTTTTGCTTCCCAGCAATTGTCATTGGTTTGGCTCAAATAAACTCATAAGAATTCTTACACGTTTGGATGGTTCTTACGTTGCCACACTGTACAGTGAAAACTAGAGGCCCAAAATGGCATCACTGTGCTAAAAGCCCAGGATACCAAACCTAGATTTAATACTTGATTTCATTGTCGTCTCAACCTCTTCGGGAAACTGAATCTTAATCAACCAATCTGGAATTTAGCTCTCCGCCTCCCTAGAAAGAAGAGGCAATTTGCATGACAAAAAACCTTGCAGTTCCCTGTCTTCCCCCCAAACCGGAGGTCCTAGTCTAAAAATAATCCTTCCTTTTCTTTTGTTAACAGCTCTCTTGCCCCATCCTTCTACCTATAAAAGACCTTCCATTTTGTATAACCCCTCAGAGTGCCCTTGTACTTGCTAGGTGAGATGTTGCCCAATTCATAAATTGCTTAATAAAGCCAAGTAGACCTTCAAATTTTGTTTTTTAACAAATGCAAAGGGCAATGTATTAGGGTTCTCCAGAGAAAAAGGACCAGAAAAAGGACAGATACAGATGCAGGAATGAGATTTATTATAGGAACTGACTCACATCGTTATGGAGGCTGAGAAGCCTTACAATCCACCACCTGCAAGTAACGAACCAGGAAAGCCAATGGTACAATTAAAGGACCGAAAATAAGGTGGTGAAGGCCGTGGTGATAGGGGCACTTATAATGTCCAAAGATTGAGCACCTGAATTAATCTGAAATATAATTATAACTTATAAAATTGTAGAACACATATACTTATGTGAGCAGGGATTTAAGTTTTTTTCCCTTAAGCTTCTTTCTCCTGGGCCTTTGCACCCTGCACTCCCCTTGATCCCGGAATGAAGCAATTAAGGAGGTGGCGCAGCTGTGGACAGTGGGTTAAGATACCTCCTTTTTGAGACCAAGATGCATGGCCAGGCCGACCTAACAATGAGTCAAGATGTCTCCTTATCAAGACATCGACAGGCGACCAAAATCAAGAGTAACTTCCAGGACTGCATGTAGCTGCATCCCATTCCCAGCCTCAGTTTGCCCCCATGTAACCCTATCTCTCAGGCCACTCCTTAAGACAGGTTTTGGATGCTCGAATGCTCCGTCTTCTTGGTTGGCAGCCTTCTCAGTATGATTCAACCCTGTCTCCGTTAATCGCATACAGCCACAGGCAGCCTGAGCCCCACCGGGGTTTCCTGGTAACAGTTGGTGTAAGCTCTGGAGTTCAAAGGCTTGAGAAACAGGAACTATGATGTCCAAGGGCAGGAGTAGATGGACAGCCCAGCTCAAGGAGAGAGTGTTGGTCCTTTCTCCGACCTTTTTGTTCTGTTTGGACCCTCAGTGGATTGGGTGATGCTGGCCCACACAGATGAGGCATCTTCTTTACTCAGTCTACTAATTCAAATGCTAATTTCTTCTGGAAAGCTCTCAGAGACATACCCAGAAATAATTTACCAGCCAGCTTGAGCATCCCTTAGCCCAGGCAAGTTGGCATCACAGGCAAAAATACAAAATTGTTAGAAGGAAATACAGGAGAACATCTCTATGATCTTGCCATAGTTTATAAGCGTGTGCACGCACACACACAGGTTAAAAAAAAGTAAAGCACAAAAAGATAAATTTGATTACATCAAATAAGAACATCTATTTATCTGTTTATCAAAACACACCATAAAGTAAAAGACAGACCAACACTGGGAGAAGATATTTGTAGCACAAAAACTGACAAAAGATTACTATTCAGAATATATAAAGAACCCGTACAAACTGATAAGAAAAAAGACAACCCAAGAGATGTGGACAAATATATTGATAGGTCATTCATGGGAGTAAGTACAAATGTCCATTAAATATAGAAATGTGAAAAAATATCCCATGCTATCACTACCATGCTGACAAAATTTTTTTTTAAATCCTCACCTGAGGATATTTTTTCCATTGCTTTTCAGAGAGAGTAGAAGGGAGAGAGAGAGAGAAACATCGATGTGAGAGAGACACATCGATTGGTTGCCTCCTACATGCGCCCTGCTGACCAGGGCCAGGGATCAAGCCTGCAACCGAGGTTTGTGCCCTTGGCCAAATCGAACCCCGGACCCTTCAGTCAGAGGGCCGATGCCAAACCGGGTAGGGCCAGCAAACACTTTTTTTTTTTTTTTTTTTAATATATCTTTATTGATTTCAGAAAGAGGAAAGGAGAGGGAGAGAGAGATAGAAACATCAATGATGACAGAGCCATTGATTGAGCCCTCAACCCGGGCATGTGCCCTGACTGGGAATCGAACCCTGATCGCCTGGATCCTAGGTCGATGCTCAACTGCAGAGCCACGCCCGGCCGGGCAGCAAACACTTTTTGAGCCTGTGTTAGCCACTGCCCGGGGCCCGATAAAGAACTTTAAATTTTATTCTTCAGTTACAGTTTACGGCCAATATTATTTTGTATTAGTTTCAGGTGTACAACATAGTGGTCAGATAATCATATACTTTACAAAGTGTTCCCCCAATATTTCCAGTACCCACCTGGCACCATTATCATTATTTCTTACACCTCACACTTATGAATATTCTTCTACATAGATATAAGATTTAACAAAAATCATTAAAAAGTATATGTAGCCGGGCCAGGCGTTGCTCAGCGGTTGAGCATCGACCTCGGATCCAGGAGATCGGGGTTTGATTCCCGGTCAGGGCACATGCGGGGTTGTGGGCTGGATCCCCAGTAGGGGGCGTGCAGCAGGCAGTCGATCAATGACGCTCATCATTGATGTCTCTCTCTCTCTCCCTTCCTCTCTCTGAAATCAATAAATATATATATATTTAAAAAGTATATATAGTCTCTGACATTCCTAGGAGGATACCAAGAAACTGATAAGGTTGCCTCTATGGCTGGGTGCTAGGGGTGGGGAGTATGGAGGCTTATCCTACCTCTTATAGCTCTTCGCATAATTGAAAATCGCATACATGTGCACACATAAGACCAAAGACGTCCGTACTCCCGGCCATGGTCCTAGCCTGCCAGCAGGCCGGGTGTGCGGCTTTCCCTGCCCCACCCTGTGCCCCGCTGGGACCACTTAGGCCCTTTCCCGCCCAGCCTTTCGGAGACACAGAATCCCCAGCCCACCAGCCTGGAGGACTCTTTCCAGGTGGCTCTTGGGTCCGATCTTCTGAACAGACTGGATGAGGTAAAAAGCCACAACAGCCAGAATGGGGACAGTGCCCTTCCTTCCCGCTCTACCAGCGCCGTTGAGCCCGTCACTGCGCCGGCCCCACAGGGCTGGGATGTCCCAAGGGAATGGCACTGATTGGACAAACTGAGATCACCTGACTCGAGGCCAGCCACTCAGAAGGTGTCTAGCGTCAAGAGGGGGCGGACCCCAAGGGCTCTGGCCAATGGGGCAGGAGGGAGTTAGCCAAGTCAACCCCACGATCTCCCTCCAAAATGGAGGGTGGGAGACCTTCCAGCGGGTGCTGCTGGCGCCGGAGGAAGCTGGAGGGGGCCGGAGAGGGCCCGCAGGGAGCCGCGGGGGGCCGGAGTGGTGACGCCCAAGGAGTCTCACGGGCTGTGGGCCGGGCGGCGCGCTGCCGCCTCGGGAGGCCCCGCGCGCACGGTCGGGCTGGGTCTCCGTTGGGCCTGGAGCGCGTTTCTGAGCTGGGCCGCGGCGGGAGGGGCGGTCTCGGCGCGCTCCTGGTCGGTGGGCAGGCGTGGGGAGCGCGCCCCTGATGGCGCGTCCTGTCTCTTCCGTCGGCTTTGAGGTTGCTGGAGATGTCGGTGTGTTCTGGTCATGGTCAGCCCCCGTTTTGGGGTCTCCTTGGAGCTCCTTCCCCCTTCTGCAGACTCTTCTACTTTGGCTTCTGTGTCTCCATCCCACCCCCACTGGACTCTGCTCGTCTTTGCTCTTCTGGCCGCCCTGAGACTTGGCGACTTACGGCCTGGGCGCCGAGCTCGGCCGCCACCCAACCCTCGGGAATCTACATCTCCACCTTGATTACTCTGGCAGATGTCCAGGCCTCGTAGTCTACCCGGCCTGTACCTTGACCCTGCTTTGAACAAGGAGCAGATTTTATGGGACCTTTGATTAGCATTTTTATTTCTTAAATTTTACTTAATATTTTTATTATTTGGTAATGCATACCAAATCTAAATGTAAAGAGCACGAACCTCCTCCTACTGAATGATGACCTCTCAGGTCACCTGGACAAATGTCTTACGGAGGAGCAGGTCACGTGATTTGGGGCTTTATATACAGGCATTGTGTTCTGGGCAGGGCCAGTGGGAAAACAAAACTTTTTTAATACATCTTTATTGATTTCAGAGAGAGGAAGGGAGACGGGGAGAGAGAGAAACATCAACGATGAGAGAGTTGTCACTGATCGGCTGCCTCCTGCAGGCCCCCGACTGGGGATGGAGCCCACCACCTGCGCATGTGCCCTGGCCAGGAATGGAACCAATCGATCCCCTGGATCCTAGGACAAGGCTCAGCTGCTGAGCCACTCCCTGCTGGAAGAAAACGAAACTGAAAATTACAAAAGGCTGGGCACAGAGGCAGCAACACACAGAGACCATCGGCACAGAAGAATGGCTTTGGTAAGTCCCCAGAAAACTTTTATTTTAAAACACCGTAACCCTGTTAGTGGTGATTGTGTGGGTTTCTTGTTGGTCTGCAGCTCTGGCACCTGGGTGTGCCTGCTGAGGCCTGAGGGTCTGCTATCTGGGGGTGGGAGGTGGGGAATGG